TTTTTGGTTGCAGCCGTCATTGTTTGGCAGGTCCGGGCTGGATTCGAACCTGCCAGCTCAGGTGTATGTGGCTGGCGCCTTAGCCCATTGAGCCACAGGCGACAAGCCGGTTATTTTAATTTGCGAAGCAAACCAGAAGTAATAGAAAATCACAAATCAGATTATTATTTTGGAATGTTCACTCACATTCAAGCAAGTGGGTTATTATTAGATCAGTGGATCTAAAACTTTTTTCTGCCTCAATATACCTGAGGGTCACCACGACTTCACTGGCAATAAGTTACAGATCTGTGTTATGTGCATGCATGTTGTTTTGGGGGAAATAACATATACAGCAGAGCCTCCATAGCTGACCACCTCCTTAAGTTGACCTAATTTTCATAGACCAGACATGCACCACATGTACAGAGCAGTATAGTAGGCCTAGTTCCTTATGTTGACCACCTCTGTACAATGACCAGTTTGTTATAGCCCCTTGGTTGGTCAACTTACAGAAGTCCTATTGTATGTGTATTTCATAGCTCTGTTCATGACAGATCCTAGAATTAATAATATCCAGTAACAACAAGCACAACTAGTATTTATATCTTGACAGGGACATGTTTAAAGCCACAAAAGCTAGTTTTAGATTGGGTGCAATGGCTCACACCTATAATCCCAGCACTCTGGGAGGCTGAGGCAGGTGGATTGCTTGAGCTCAGGAGTATGAGACCAGTCTGAGCAAGAGTGAGACCCCCATCTCTACTAAAAATAGAAAAACTACCCAGACCTTGGGGCAGGCACTTGTCCTAGCTACTTGGGAGGCTGAGGCAAGAGGGTCAATCAAGCCTAAGAGTTTGAGGTTACTGTGAGCTGTGATGCCACAGCATTCTACTCAGGGCGACAGAGTAAAAGAGTCAAAATCATGAAAGACAAAAGAGAGAAACTGTTTGGATTAAGGAGAGACATAACTAAATGCAATACATGATCTGGGGTTTCGTTTGCTATAAAGGACATTACTGGAACAATTAGTGAAACTGGTATAAGGTTTATAGATTATATACTGCATCAATGAACATTTGCTAATTTTGGTAACTGTACTGAGATGATGGATGATAATTCCTTCTGAGGAAATGTACAGTGGAATGGTCAAGGGTACAGGGTGTCATGTCTGCAATGTGCTCTCAATCAAATATGTAGGAAAAACAGAGAACAATAAAGCAGTATAGGATTACAAAGTTACCATTTGGGGTTTCTACATGAAAGTTGTACAGGAATTCTTTGCACTATGCTGTCAAAAATTATGAAATGTTTGAAAATATTATCTATCCTAGTGATCCTAAACTTTCCAATCCAATTTTGTTCTGCCACACTCATACTCCCCAGCTCTTATTTGTGTGGGAAAGAGGTTGGTAGATGACTTGTAATTATGACATAGTTTTAAAAGAGAAAAATATAGGGCAGTGCCTGTGGCTCAGTGAGTGGGGCCCAGGCCCCATATACTGAGGGTGGTGGGTTCAAACCCGGCCCTGGCCAAACTGCAACAAAAAAATAGCCGGGCATTGTGGCGGGTGCCTGTAGTCCCA